GCTGAACTTTTTTGTCTATTTTCATGACTAAGATGAGGTACATGTCGACGTACTGCTGCACGGAAATTAGTTACTTCCTTAACGATCATTACTGGCCACAGATGATATAAAATAAAATCGGTAAAGAATTAACAAATAAGATAACATTAAACATTTAATAAATCATATACATTTCATTAACTGAGAATCATCCACTGAATTAATTGAAGAGGAATCAAAGGTCTCGGCACATACAGGCTAATATCAATAATAGTAATAAATGATAACATGTGAATGTTAATCACTTAAAAATAAGCATGGAATCAGGTATTAACTAAACATATTAAAAATCTAATAAACCTCATCATTAGGTTCGTGCCATACTGCTAAATAGGGATGCTCTAATGCTTCTTCAACAGTTATCCGTTGGGCAGGATCAAATGTCAAGAGACGTTCTAATAAATCAATTGCTATATATTAAAATGTTAAATGAATATCAGCAACACTGTTAGTATGATTATTGAATATAAAAATCATAGACCTAAAAGTTTAATATCACATACCTAAAGCATTTGCATTAGGGTATATTTTAGAAAATGGCCTTTTCTGCATACGAGGTAAATTACGAATATATTCTTGCGCCTTAAAAGACAAAATATTTTAGATAAATATCAATAAGTATTTTAGTTTGTTAAATACTGTAATTTACTATTGTGCTCATTATCCTTGATAAGGTAAGATCGCCGGGGGTTCCCAAAGTTTGAAGGATTTGATTCATTTGGTCGACACCTACATAGTATTGACAATTTAAAGCTTTGATTAAGGAAAATGTGCAATATTAAATAGTAAGAAGAAGTTCTAATTGTAACATATGAACGCATTGACAAATTTAATTAAATTATTTCTATAAAAATTTTTTTAGAAGTTAAAGCATAGTTTTTATAGTAAAAAATTTGAGTTATTAGTTTTTTATTTTTTTGTTTTGTTTTAGTTATGTAAGATCTAATAATTTGATTGGTTTTATGTATAATTAGATAATATTGCTTTGAAAACAAGTTTGCAATAGGTTAAAAAATAATATTAAAAAAATAATTTTTTGTTGAGCTTTTAAATAAACTTGTAGCAAAGATTTTTTTAGTTTTAATAGTAGCTAAATTATCAAAATTAGCATAGTAGATCTCAAGATATTTGAAGTTAAAGGTGTAAGTATAAAGATTTACAAATCACTAATTATACAAAGTATAATCAAATTTTTTAAATACATATCTTTGAAACAATACTTCAATAATATATATTTACCTCATATACTACCATATATCCCTATCTCTTATTCAGCTGCATCTGAAATCTTTTATCCTAGTGACAAAACAAACAAATTAATTAAAATTTCATTATCGAACTCTACTCATAATACTTTTAACTTTTATACAGATGGATCAGTTATCAATATTGGTACTAACCAGTGCTCTATGGG